GACTTGCCACGGTCTCCAACCCTCCTCCTTTCTCATCCGGGCTTGGGACCGGCCATGGCGGAGTTTTCTTGACTTATTGTAAAACAAATGTCTATTGGTACTGCAACTGATAGTAGCTACGGACTAGTGACTATCACTTTCGCGAGTTGCATTTTATGTCCTCAGATCAGTAGCAGGCAACTGGAGCCGGCATCAAATATTGCATGAAGATACATATGGTATGGATTGATTGTACTTGTAACACGTCGCAGTTAAAGCAAATGTTTAGATTCTATTTCACTATGATTAAGCTGTATCTATGTTTTCATGCATGTCGCGACTTTTAAGGAATTTTGCAGAATTGACCAGAAACTGTAAGAACACGGAAAAAAGTTCTTAATCACACACATGTGCCTATTCCTTCTGCAGTTCTTCCACGATGGACAATATGAGCGACACAATTTCACAATAGTGCCATGAGAACGCAATTGTGACTGTGTCATAACTGATTTTTTCCTGCGCCTATACAAAGCTTAGGAATGACATAGATATATCTTATCAAGCTTTAATCTTTTTCTCTCTGAAGCAGGTCACAATTATATTGTTGGAACATGCCTGCTTAAGAAATTTCAACAAAATTAGTGGAGTAATGTCATTTCAATGATTGCATCAGTTATTTCGGCTGAACCATAACTATTTGACAATAATAACTGCGTTTTCAAGATTCAAAGAAAACTGGAACATAACACTCATTTTCATGAAGATCGCTGATGATGACTCTGGATGAGTACCTGTTTCCAATCTTCTCGAAACACCGCTCGCTGGAACACTCAGCTGTAACTCGAGGAAATCAGACGGTAGAGTTAAATTGCCAAAAGAGGCTGAGGCAAGCGTTGGGGGGTGGGTGGATTCCAGCGCACCAGTGTTTTGAAAAGCATATGTGTTTCTGTACCGGCTACCGACTCCTTATGTATGCTTGCTGGAAAATTCTGCTGTAGACGCAAGATATCATAAGGGTCTTGTTTATTAAATATGGATGTAAAGTCTTACCCGAAAACTGCTACAAGCCGTTGTATGCAAGAAACATGACAACAAAGTAATAAGCTTTTTCGATGTATGCATCTATATTTTGACCATCTATATCTATAATCAAGCCCCGTCCTATTCTTCTAACTAAGTTGCCAAATAATCGTCATCCGTTTTTACGAGTAGATGATTGGGCTAAAAGCGATTAATACCCAGATATCCACGAAGGAATCAACAGGATATCATAATCAGCAGAAATGTATCTTTCAATGATCAGACTATAATATTCCAACTGAGGTAAACTTGCAGAATTTATTGTGAATCTGAACGCTATCACGTAGCATCTTATTGCACATTTTAAGTGCAATGTAACATCTACTTTTACTTTAAGGATATAGCCATGTCCCCGGAAATGATAGGATCTTAACAAGAGCAAGTTCAACGACATGATTCATGTTTCGACTTATTTATGTCTCAGGAGATAAACAGAGAGTTATGGTTTGCTGTAATTGGACACAAAAGAGGCAGTAATAAAAATGAGGGAAAGAATGAGTAGTATATGGTTTGTTTGAAAAGGTTCAATCTTTGCGTCAGGAACCATGTCATGCAATACCGCAGCAGTTGAAAAAGGCATAGGGCAATGAATCTGAAACCTTTAGTAGTTAAAACAACAAGAAATAGTTCGAAAGTTCATTATGACAGCCGCGATACTCGACAGGCATGGTCTGACTGAAAATACATATATTTTTTCAGAAATAAACAGTCTTCTCAGATATTGTGAATGTTGCTTATTTCTACGCACAAAGATTAATACAATTTCCACCTTGGTTATTCCTAGAGCGTAAACACCTTCTGCAAAATGGGCACAAACGGTTATTATCTTGACGATGCTGGCGTTGCCTAATTCTTGCATGAATGACTTCGACAAAGGATGCTACAGAATATGTGAATGTCTATCTGCGCGCCCTAATTGCGAAATGTCCACTCTTGGTCATCGGTCAACAAAATGCGTGTCCCCTTCATCTTCGCTTCACGTTCTGGTTTCCGAAACGCTCGACTTGAAAGACTGTCATCAACCGCTGTCCCACTAAACTCGGCACCAGATATATACAGGTACAGTCCTGACGTCGTCAACAGTCGCCAAATTCAAGCATCGCAGTTGGACGCAAATGGATTCTAAGATAACCTTCGCCAGCACTTTGGCCGTATGCTTTGGGGTTTTTGCCTTAATAGGTTGTATGGTCATGGTGCCGATGGTTTTGAACGAGGTTACTGAAGTATGGCTGGAATTGGACGAAGAAATGGATGAATTTAAAGTAGGGATTTTTCCATTTGATGTTAATAAAATTGTGTGGTGACTACGTGCCTCTCAAATGCAGGCGAATTCAGAAGCATTACGGGAGCAACTGATCATTCTGGATAAAAGTGCAAGGCTCAAAAGAAGCGAAAGGCACGTCCAATTCAGAAAACCTGCCATTGATGTCGAAAAAGCGAAAAAATGCCCAGCAGGACCTCAAGGACCAAAAGGTGCAATGGGTGAGAACGGTGACGTCGGCGCACCAGGTGAACCAGGTGAACATGGACATGATGCAGAAGATGTTCATGCTATTTGGCCAAGTTCTGATCAGTGCTCATTATGCTATTCATGCAAAGCTGGTCCACCAGGTGAAAGAGGCGAAGAGGGTAAGTGTAATGTTAAACAGGTAATTAAATCTGACAGCTATTTCTACAGGTCCAATGGGCATTCAAGGAAGATCAGGAAGACCTGGAACACCTGGAATAGATGGCTCTCCCGGATGTACTGGAGAGAGGGGTCCGCGAGGTAGTAAAGGACTGCAAGGAAAGCAAGGATCACGAGGAAAACCAGGAAGAGATGCAAACTTGGTTGTTGGAGTGAAAGGTTCACAAGGAAAGCGTGGTCTTCAAGGTCCTAGAGGAGAAAAGGGTGTACCAGGAAAGGATGGAAAACCTGGACCAGTTGGTGACGTTGGCCCTAAGGGAGTTATGGGACCACAAGGAGAACGAGGTCCTATGGGACGCCGTGGGTCAGGGGGTGGCACTGGTTCTCCAGGACCAGACGCACGCTACTGCCCATGTCCAGCGAGATCGGTTACAGCGTGCAAGAAAACAAAGTCATGCTAAAACAAGGCAATCCTTTCTTTTAGGCAATTGCTTGATTATCATATGCTTCAATTATAACCAATGGTTAGTTCTAAAGTGCCTAAATTAGCGTTTATTCTGATTCGATTTTTTTAAAATAAATCGTGAAGCTTCCTCTTCTTGAAAATCATGTAATGAACTTCCGTATTTTCGTTACGAAAGAATTTACAGAAAAGATTTCTCTGGCATTAAAGTGAAAACTCACCACTTGAAACATAACTTTCAAATGGATATAACTTGGTTACTTCCAAAGTGATGGCTTTGATGTATAATCAGCAAACTGCAGCGGGTTACAAAAAGTGGCGCTGTGGGACATGGAAAAAGATCGAACTTCACTTTATATGTGAACACAAGTCAATTCTATGCAGGAATAAGACTGCGTTTTAATTGGAGTTTTCATTCTTCTTCAGATTTATATATATCATCACTTTCGGCTAACCATTCATAAACATAGTTGCGCATGAAAGAAAGACCGATTTGAACAGGGAGAGCTCACTCATCAGATACAGAGTTAGAGGTAGTCCATGTAAAACACCATAGGCCATTCCAGTTCGACGGTAGATCTCTTCTTTCACCTGCTCGATCCACTCTGTTTGGTTGCAGAGCTCAGCAAGCAGGAGATCGAGAAAGGAGTCATGCTTCGGTTTTAGACACTTTCACAAGCCTGTCGGCTACGGTGCACTCGGCTGCGAACCATTCCACAGAGCGCTGGAGATCAGTTTTGGAAGATACCAACAAAACAAAGTGGTCTGCAAGTAGCAATCTTCTCCAAATCGAACAGATTCAATGCGCGACAATGTAAGGTATTTATTGTATTCGACATATGCGACTGCTTATCTGCCCCTTTGGCTGTCTGCAATGTGACTTTGCGAGGAAATTTTTCTGACATGACCATTTCCCTTGCATATTGATCACGTGTCAAAGCCATTGGAATTTCGAAGTTCCCGTTTGGTGCAGGAGCGGCTGACAAGCGGAAGTTTGTCAGACTGCAGTGTTCCGAAGCCTGACGAACCATTAATCCTGTGATGAGCCTCATTAATATGCTTGTGCGTATATCGCCTGTATGAAATTTGCCATCATCCATGTCTAAAAAAATGGTCAAGAAACTTGAAGGCAAATAGTTTTGCAAAGATGTCACAGTTTGAATTTATTTTTTGGCAACATTAATAAGAGAAAAATAGGAATATTTTCTAGTCAATTAGCATTTCCCTGCATTGCAACTTTGCATCATTCGTATTGAAGCTGTTGCGGCTTTCTGTCATTGATATTCCTAAACAACAAATTTTGCATGATAATGTAATAAAGTACAGTAATGTAAAAGTTGTACTGATGTCTTCAAGCACGGAATTCTAATCTGGTAAAAAATGAGAGAAACAGTGGTAAACGCAGAATGTGCATGACAATGAGCTTTTCCCATAAAATTAACTTATTGATGGATATAACAGAGCTGACCATCAAATTATCATACACATATTTTCGAAACGTAAATAAAGAAAGAACAGGAACTCCTTGCATAAGTTTTCATGGTCATTTTCAATTCAACATCGCAATAGAAGTGTGTGCTTTGTTTCTTTGTAAGAGTAGTACAAGCTGGAAAACATTTATCGATTTGAGGAATGCACAAACAGGAAAACTGTATTCCAACACATATAACTAATACGTCGCAAACACAAGGGGGCAGACTTCGACGGACTAATTCTGTTAGTTGCCATTATCGATCTTCAGCATTGGCGAAGTACGCAAGCTGAGACAATGTTTTACACACGGATAGGTCTGAATGGCAACCATAGTCTATTGGTCAATTCCGTTAATCACGAGTAATTTGCTGTTCTGGCATTTCAAGTGGTTGTGTCATCTGGAAAAGAACAGCTTGAATTAATAATCGAAAATTAATTGAACGAAATAAAATTAAATTGATTACTAGCCGTTGCTGCTTGCTTGGACGGTCTACAGTTGTCGCCGTTGAATCTAAACGATAGTATACGCGGTTATTCGGCATTTTTCTGCATCGTGATAGCTCTTCGATGCCTACCTGTTTTCGCAGACACTGTTGTCGTAGACAGAGCAGAGATGAGGTCTATATTAACAAATAATTAAAAATATTTTAAACAGAGGTCATACGAACTGCTGTAACTACTAATAGACAATTTTATTCACTTATGACAAAACAAGTCCAGAAGTACAATCGTCATCAGAGATGTGTTGCATATGCAAGATGATGATCTCAGCAAACAAACGAGTAGCTACTTCTCAAGAGCTGCTCTTTGTAGGGTACATGGAAAAGGAGATATCGCAGTGGTAAGGAGTCAGCTTCGTTCACCTCAGGTGCAACTCCAATTTATTGAAGCAGTGTTAGCTTGTATAGGTACTTTTTCGCATTATGCTTATAGCTTTCTTTGCTAGATTGAGCTTTGCTTCATTCTCACTGGGGGGAGGGTACATAAATTTATGAAGAGCCTTGTCATCTGTCATGGGTTAAATTACTATCGATAAAAATCGAAAAGGGCGCTCAGCAGAGTCGTGTAACCTGACTGACGTTATTCATAGCAGCTCTTGCAGAGGTTCTAAAGACACGTCGTTAGGAAAATTAGGGAATGCAGACAAACGTTCAACCCATGGGCCCCCTTCGGTTGGCAAAAATATTCTTGTTATGTCATCAAAAATAGTCCAAAAAGAATCCAAGACCTGAACAATGCCAGCACCAAAGTAGCACTAAAAGTAAACCTGAAGAAAACTCAGTTAATATCTGAAAAACACGAGATCGCGCGACCTATTGAAATCAACAGAGAGAGACCTAAACAGACGCAAAACAACGTCTGTCTCGTACAGCTTATTTCTTTAATGGAGAACCGATTATGTGAAATCAACGGAAAGATAAAAATGGAATACAGCAATGGATATGGGAGATTAAAAATGTCCTCATACGCGAAACAGCCGTTGTGTTTGAAGCAGAAAGTTTTTGATCAATGTGTGTTTCAGGTGTTAACCTATTGGACGTGAACGTAGACTCTAACCCTGCAATCTATCTATAAACTGCAAAATAGGTAACACAGTATTGAAGAATGTATGTTCAAAATAACAACAAAAGACAAGAGTACGTAGAAATGGACATGAGCTGAAACAAAAACCTGTGATTTCATTGCCCAAGTGAAGAATTTAAGAAGAATCGACCGTCGCTGGATCAGACGGACATGAAACTAAGTTCCATGAGAGTGGAAGTGACGGATTTAATGAACTCAATAACGATGATGGAATGAACTAAAGAAGTTCGCTGGATAAAGATGGATGCAAATCACTGAAAACAAAAGTTAGTGAATATGGCGTTCGAGGCCTTAATCCATCAATGAGTTGAATGATGATGACAACTTGGTTGAAATTATCAAGAATCACACGGTCACAAACAAGAAGCATCTGGTTGAACATCAAAATCAGCAACCTGTCGACATAAGCGTGAACTAGAATAGCTCGCTCTTTCCTGGGACTGAACAGTGTGGAGAACGACAGGTTAATTCAGGAACCTTTGATGAGCGAAAAAAGTGCTACATAAAACGGATGCACTGAAATTTGACCAATGAAATGAGTAAAAAAAATAATATGTAGCCAGATTGCAAGGGTAGCCACCATGAATGGCTGCATTCCGATTTTACGGCCGGCAAATAACCTTACAATTTATTATCGATATATTTGCTAACGGATAAAGACAATTTTGTCAATGCTTGAACATGTTCTCACTCGGTCTAACTCAATGGCGAGGGACACGCGTTCGAATTGCAGACCCTTAAATGCCATGGAACTGTGACCAGCTTGAATGGTCATCGTAGGAAGCTACGAGGGAAGGGGCAGTGCAACCAAGTGCAAAGACTGTTATCCGTCTTACACCACCGCAGTATGGCTTTACTTTGCAGGTTTCGTCGTGTACATCCGGCGTCATTAGTTGAAAGATAAATCTTAACGTGTCTTTCATTAGGCTTCGAAACTCGTTCTCACATTTTGAAATATGCAAGTTTTCGTGAAAGATGTAGAAACAACTACGTTTACTCACCAAAAGTGACATTTGTCCAATGCTCTCCTTGCTTCAGAGAGTTTCTGACAAAAGTTTCGGTCAGCGAAGAGGTTTGTGGTACTTCCATTAAAAATATCTTTCTGAATGCCAACAGAAATACAATTTTCAAACTGCTATTTTTTTCTTTGGCCCTAAAAGTCAATATCGTTCAAAATTAAAATTATTTTTAACACTGAACTGTAATATATTTAACACTTTACAATGGTTTTAAACTCCGCCATGGCCGGTCCCAAGCCCGGATGAGAAAGGAGGAGGGTTGGAGACCGTGGCAAGTC